GACCTCTGTGGTGCAGACTCTCTTGCAACAGATGCAAGATGAATTTCAGACCATGTGCGACCAGATCATTGGAAGAATTGATGATATGAGTAGTCGCATTGATGACCTGGAGAAAAACATCACCGACCTCATGGCACAGGCTGGGGTGGAAGAACTGGAAGGTGAAAACAAGAGCCCTGCCACACAGAAGAGTTGAAGGCTGCTAATAATTAACACCGAAATCTGGAACACCAAGAGGAGACCAGCTGGCTTTCTGAGCTAACCACTATGTGTAGACAGGTTTTATATTATAATAAAATGTGTGTTCTTAACCACATACTATATACTGACTTTAAAGAGTGACTCCCCCACTGTCTTGAATATGTTATCTTCACATTTCAGGCCTTGGTCAGTTGCGCTATTAATTATTAAACGCTAAAACTTTGGCAGTTCCTGCATAAGACTGTCAAATTTTTTAGTGTTATTTTTGTGAAGTCATTTTTTTCCCTGCAATTTCTTTTGTAGTAGTTGCTGTTTGAAAAGAGTTGCTGTGTAATTGTCTTTATTAGAGAAAAGGTAACACCGTAGATTGTTTAGATCTGGTGGAGTAAGACACTTAAAGAGTTTAGGATTCTTTCATTCTCAGCAAAAGTGACTTTTGTGCTAACACCAGATAGTATCTGTCACTGCTGCATTGCCAAAACTCAGAGTTGACCTGTGACTTATCTCTGGGAGCAGAGGCTACAATCAATGAAAATGAACCACTGCCACAGTCTTCTGATGGAACTTTTCACAAACAGAAATTTGCTATAGGGCACGTGCGCTCGCCAGACAGACAGAGAGAGACATAGAGACAGAAAGTGAGAAATCACCCCCCAGAGGGGATGGTCACGCCGCAATCCCTTCTCTTTCATTCTCCTCTTGGGATCTTGGGCACACACGCACACGTGCCCGGCGTGAGTTTTAAGCCACCGGGTCCAGGACACGAACCACAGTCAACTACGTGGGAGTCCAGCGACACAGCCATTACACTAATTGCTGGTTCCCCTTCAGTGAGATTCTACATGGTTTACCTACAGTGGTCACCATAAAAAATATGGCATGACTGTAAAACTCAGTCACTCCATCATTTTGAGCTACTGAGTGAAAAAGAAAAAGACCAGACTGAGGCCATGTTAGTTGCTGGGCTAGAAAATGGAAAATGACCTATAATAGACCCAAATTTTTAAGAAATACTGTTTTACTTAAACTGTTTCTTACCTACATGTTTGCATAGTAGCAGTTTTATTACTGATTAGGGAAGACTAGGATAATGACTCTTGGCCATTCAGAAGTATAGTGTCAGGAGCACTGAGCTCAGAGGCCAGTGTTGGCCACCTGGAAGGTGGGCCATGTGATTGTCACCACTAAGTAATTGTATAACAAACAGCTGAAACATCGACGAAGTTGAATGATGCTATCCTTTGTAGAAACTCTTAATGGAAACAGTATATTTTTAAATTTTTCTTGTTACCAGTCTTGATTATTTGTATTACAAATACATAATATTAATAATTTGTCCAGTTTATAAAGTATATGGGGAACACAAGGAGTAAAATTTTCACTGCTATTATTACCCAGCAGTAGCGATGCACTGATGGAGCCAGTAGGCCGTGCTGCAGGTGTAGCCCTGCATGTCCCACACACGTGGCCTCTGACCAGACCAGCTGGCACCCTGTGCAGGGCGTTTTCAAGCTTCGTAAGTGGCAAATGGAAATGATATGGCCAATCGCTGTTGTAAGGATGATGGGGACTTAGGTAGGCGTCGGCTTCCTTAAGAAAGGAAAGGTTTCAAAGGCAGACTCCCTGACACCAAAACTATCTGCCATGAATAAAGGTGCCTGAAATCCTGAAAAAAAAGAAAACTTGTAAGAAAAGGGATCAGTGGTGTTTGGGCTGAGCCTGCTGGTGGCTGAAGCATACAGAAGGGTTGTGAGTCTGTTTTCTCGTTGTTTTTTACTTTTAGGATCATTTTCTCGATCCTAGACTCCTTCTTGTTGGTGGTCCTGGGGCACACATGGGGTCAAAAGAGAGAGAAGAAGTTGAAAGAGTACAAACTGGATTCAAGCCAGTGCTGGGAGTAGAAATCTGGGCTCAGTTAAGGGGCTGCTCTTCCTGGATATCAGGAAGCAGACAAACAGGACTCTAGCTAATCCAGTCTCAGAAGTCAGACAGGGCTCTGAAGTCGAGAAGCCATGAGTCAGGGCTCAGAGCCCAAAATCCCTGGACACTGACAGCAGAGGAAGATTATTATATAATGGCACACCCTGCCCAACAGAATTTACCGTTTTCTATGTCCTTTGGTCCGAAATAATGTTTACTCCTGCTAGTCCTTTGTATCATAGAGCTGGGTTGTAATATCACTGTTGTTCAATAGGTGTCGCTGTCTGTCACAGGATGTGCACAAAAATATTTAGTCAGATCACAGTTCCCAGGCCTGCAGAGCAACCCTTCTCTAGATTTAAAAGGTTTCTATCTTGAGTTATCTAAAAATGACCAGTAGTATACAACACCAATTGTTCCTCAGAACTTGGGAAATACTATTTTACTAGGACTGTCTTTCTTATCTCTTTTTAAAGTTTATTTTATTTAATTAATGAATGAGAGAGAGAGAGAGAGAGAGAGAGAGTGTGTGTGTGTGTGTGTGTGTGTGTGTGTGTGTGTTGGGAGGAAAGCATGCAAGAGACAGCCAGTATCACCAATAGGGTCCCAGCGCCACAATACAACTCCAACCTCTGCCAGTCTTCTGGTGCACTCGGGGAGGTTTCTAGAGAAGAATCAATAATCTTCCCATGAGCATCACATTGGACCACTTCACTGCTGTCAGCCCCCTATCTCACCATTTCTATCATCGCTTTCTTCTCTTTTGAGCAGTGATTCTCAAACTTTACAGACATAGGAACTCTCTGCACTTCTACAAACTACTGATAACTCCAAGTAGCTTTTGTTTACCTGGGTTATATCCATGAATATTTTCCATATTAGAAACTGGAATTACCATACAACCCAGCAATCTCTCTTCTGGAAAGAAGAGAAGAAGAAGAAACCAGCACTTCAGAGAGATATCTGCACCTCCCTCCATATTCACTGCAGCATTATTCACAACAGTCCAGATAAAGCAACAACCAGGCACGGAGTGATGGGTGAATGAATAAAGAAACTGTAGTATATATACCATGAAATATGATTCAGCCTTGAAAAGGAGATCTAGCCATTTGCAACAACATGCTAAGCAAATTAAGTCAGACACAGAAAAAAAACTCTGTGTTATTTATGTACATATGGAATATTATCCCCCCAAAAGTCAACTACTAGAAATATAGGGTAGAACAGTGATTACCGAGGTGGAGGTAAAGATAAAGGTAAAAGGGTACAAAGGAGCTTAGAATGCTTTGATTCGGATCATCCCTTACATGGTCTGATTAAGAATATTTTAGTCTTGGGGCCAGCAGGTGCCATGGTGGTTAAGGGCACTGGACTCCCACATGGCTTGCTGTGGTTCAAGTCCTGGACCTGACTGCTTACTTTTTCACTTTCTCTCTCTCTTTCAACCTCTTTCTCTCCACCCCCCGAGTCAAATTTAAAAAATAAACGAATGGGGATAAAAAGAGAATATTTTAGTCTTGGGACCCACAGATGACATGATGGTTATATTGCTAGACTCCCATGTAGTTGACTATGGCTTGAGTCTCAGGCCCGGCAGCCTAAAACTCATGCCAGGCAAGTGTGCATGTGTGCCCAAAATACCAAAAGGAGAATGGAGAAGGGATTGCAGTGTGGCCATCCCCCCTCCCCCTGGGAATGATTTCTCACTTTCTGTCTCTGTCTCTCCAGCAAGTGCACATGCCCTGTAACAAAAATCTCATCTTATTTTTTTGTTGCTATTTGTGTGTTTTTAAATTTTGCATGAAAACACTCAAGAGACATAGAGAGAGGAAAGGTGAGAAAGCACCCATATTGGGAATTGTTATGCTTCAATCCCTTCTTTGATTCTCCCTCCTTTCAGAATTTTGGGCATGCATACGTGTGCACTGTGTGTTTTTCAAGCTGCAGTCAGCCATGTGCGATCCAGCTGCTTTCAAACATCATGCCACTGGCTGGGAGGGTTTTGTTTGTTTGTTTGTTTGTTTGTTTTTTAATCCCTCAATTGAGACACTATTAGCCCATTTCATTTGTTCATTTGTTTGTCTGTTTCTGGATTTTGCTATAGGGTGCATGCACTCACCAGAAAGAAACAGAGAAAGAGAGAAAGTGAGAAATCATATCCCAGGAAGAACAGCCATACTGTAATCCTTTCTTCTCCACTTGGAATTTTGGGAACATGTGTACATGCACCTGTCATGAGTTTCAAGCTGCCATGTCCAGGATTCAAACCATGGTTTGACTACATGGGAGTCCAGTGATGTAACCATTATACAATCTGCTGGTACCCCAGACTTCGTTTTCTTTCTTTTTTTTTTTTTTTTGAGAGGTTTTTGCTATAGGGCACATGCGCTTGCAAGACAGACAGAGAGAGATAGAGAGACAGAAAGCAAGAAATCACCCCCCAGGGAGGATGGCCACACCACAATCCCTTCTCCTCCATTCTCCTCTCAGGATCTTGGGCACGCACGCACACGCACCCGGTGTGAGTTTTAAGCCACCGGGTCCAGGATGCGAACCGCGGTCGACTACGTGGGAATCCAGCGACATAGCCATTACGCTAATTGCTGGTCCCCCCAGACTTTGTTTTTGACCTCTATCTTCTATCTCTAATTTTGCTCTTATTCTTTTTTTCTTTTTAGAGAGATTTTGCTATAGGGCACATGTGCTCACCAGAGAGACAGAGATTTAGAAAGCAAGAAACAACCCCCCTGAGAGGATGGCCACACCACAATCCCTTCTCCTCCATTCTCCTCTCAAGATTTTGGGCACGCACACATTCCTGGTATGAGTTTTAAGCACTGGGACTGGAACTTGAACCACGGTCAACTATATGGGGTCTACGTTCCCTCCTTTTGAAGGTCTTGTTACCATTCCAACCAATGGAACATGAGTGTTTTATGACATAACCATTAGACCATCTTCTGGTTCCATAGCTCTTGTCCTTGAAAGGCACTTTCAATGGGTATAAAATTACAGGTTTGGGGACCAGCAGATGGCATAACGGGTATGTCATTGGACTCCCATGTAGTCGACCGCAGTTCAAGTCCCAGACCCAGTGGCTTAAACTCATGCCAGGCACATGTGTGTGCGGGCCCAGGATCCCACGAGGAGAATGATGGAGAAGGGACTGTGGTGTGGCCATCCCCCCTGGGGGGTGATTTCTCACTTTCTGTCTCTCTGTCTCTGTCTTTCTGATGACACATACACTCTATAGCAAAAAACCTCTCAAAAAAAAAAAAAAATTACAGGTTGGGACCAGCAGGCGGTGTGGTGGTTAAGGTGCTAGACCCCCACATGACTAAACATGGTTCAAGTCCTGGATCTGGTGACTTGCTTTCTTACTCTCCCCCACCTACCCAGCCAAATTAAAAATAATAATAATAATAAATTAAATTAAATTAGCGATTTTTTTCAAATAACGTACAATTAACAGTTACTTTTTCTTAGCACATTGAAGATATTTTCTCATTCTCTGGCTTCCACAAGTATGAAAAATCACCTAACACACTAATCATTGCTAGATAGAAAATCTTTCTCTTCTCTCTAGTTGCTTTTAAAATCATCTCTTTGTCTTAGGTGAACTACCAGTTTACACAGGAGTGTTTAGGAGTAGGTTTATTGTTATTTATCATGCTTGGAATTCACTGACTCACCTAGACCTGAGGCTTCCTACCTTTCAAAGACTGCAATATCCTCGACCATTATCTTTTAAAATGTTGCCTCTTTTCCATTTTCTGTATTACTTTCTTTTTTTTTTTCTCATTTCCTGTATTACTTTCTGAAAATTCAATTGCATGTGTGTTAGACTTTCTCACTTACCTTATATTTCTCTTTATCTGGTGTATTATTATTTCCAGCTGGGAATGTCTCTGGGCTCCATCTTAGCTCATTTATCTAAATATGTCTTCAATTTTTCTAATTTTTTTCAACTGCTAAACCTATTCTGATTTTTAACACATCCATTGAGTTTTTACTCCCATTTATTAAATTTTCATTTTAGAAAGTTCTATTTCTTTCTCTTCAAATCTGCTTTGTTTTTGTTTTGTTTTTGGGGTTTTTTTTGCTACAGGGTATTTACACTCATCAGAGAGAGACAGAGGGAGGGAAGTGAGAAATCACCCCCAGGAGGGATGGTCATGCCACAACCCTTTCTCTTCCATTCTCCTCTCAGGATTTTGGGCATGTAAACGCAGGTGCCTGGCATGATTTTCAAGCCTCCGGTTCCAGGACTTGGTTGACCGCAGTCAACCAAGTGGGAATCCAGCACTTTAACCAACGCCACCTGCTAGCCCCAACTTGGACATTTTAATAGCCTATTTTTCTTTGCTCTTATTTACAACTCTCTCATATGTCTAGAAATATGCATCCATCCCATATGCTTTTTATACAACGTGACTAACAGTCCTCCCACTGAAAAGTAGGGTCTACGTGTCCTCCTTTTGAATCTCAGTAGGTTTTGTCACCATTCCAACCAATGGAACATGAATGTTTTGTGATTTCTGGGGCTAGGTCACAAAAAGGATATACCTTCTGCTTAGCTCCCCGTGGGATGCTCTCCCTTGGAACCAGCCACCGTGTTGTGAAGGAGCACAGGCCGCATGGATAGGAACTGAAGATTTACCAACAGCCAGCATCAATGGATGAACATGTGCATGAATGGCTTTTCCTGCTTCCAGCCTCCAAGTCTTACAACGAACAACATGGGGAGGAGATAAGCCATCCCTGCTTCACCCTGTTGAATCCCTGTCCCACAGAATCTGGGAGCATAAGAAATGCTGTTTTAAGCCCCTACCTCACTCAGCAGCAGTAACTGGAATGTTCCCCAATGTATCTCCAATGCCTAACTTAGGTCTGGCACATGGTGGATGCGTAATAAATATTTGTTGGGTTTATAAAAGACATTAGCTAATGTATTCTTCTTCTAGACTCTATAGATTGCTCTTTAGAAAACCCCCATGCCTTACACTAGTTATCTTCCATCTCTGCTTGGAACAAAGGCTCACTCTCCTGTTTGCCAGTGAATGAAAGTCCCTTAGAGAAAGGGCTCCAGCCCTTCCCAGTTCCTCAGAAAGCTAAGGGGTGAGGTCAACCCTGCTTCCTGCCTTTTGGGATCCACCCTCAAAGCAAATAGGCCACTCATCCCTCTGTGTCTCAAATAAATATTTATATTGCCCTTGTTTGGGTGACTGCCATTTTGTTTTCCTCATAGACTGGGAACTTCCAGGACAAAAGTGATGTGGAAAGAAAAGACATTTTCAGACTGCACCTGCATCATCCAATCTAAAAAAAAAAGCCAGAAGCAGTGATGGCACTGCTAAAAATAACACTTGGATGTGCCATGACATTAGCAGGTAACTGGCCTGGGACCTCTGGGGCCAGCATCCACAGGCATCTCTGAGGAGCTGCCTGCTTTCCGAAGTGCGTCAAATCCTCCTCACCCACCCCACCCAGCCTTCACTGCCGAGGCCAGGGCTGGTAGCTGTTAAATCCAAGGAAAAGGGCTGGCTGTTCATAGGGAAAGCCTGCATTTAGAGCTTTCATTAAAAAATAATATGGATTTTCTATTTCAAGAGCAGAATGTCTAACAGTGTTGCCAAGGAGAGGCACTCCAAGACCCGCTTAAATGGTAAATAGGAACCTGTCGTAATGAGCATATTAATAGCAGTTTGATTCCTAGCACCCTGTGAAACATCTCTCCAACCTCCAACAATACCATTTACTTGCAGGTAATTACAGAACGAAGGCAGAGCATGGGGCCAGGAGAGCAGAAGCCAGCTCTGCCTCCAGCTGGAGCAGTTTCCAGATCAAGAAAAGGAGACAAGACGGCTGGATCCCACCTCTAGTGCCCTTTTCAGCTTCCACATACTTTCCATGGTCTGGCTTCCCGAGTTCCAAAAAGTGAAAAGGGCACACTTCAGACCTAGAAAAACCCAAATCCCAGTGGAGGGGGCTTCCCATGAGCAAGGGTTGGACTTCTCTGAACCAATCTCCAGAACAATGTTGACAACTCAGATCACCGCTGATTTTAAAGAACTCCAAACCTGATACTCCTGGCCACTCGCCAGGGTGCTTCCTGAGTGATGAGAAGTGAAAAGCAAACCCAGGCCCCTGGCCATGGAGGGGGCAGGAGAAGGGAGCCCCAGCGGCAGGGGTTCCTGGTCCTGCACTTGCCCTGGGCTGCACAGGACACCGCTCTCACTTTGGGGTGGCTCAGCACCTTGGGGGCTCCCATGAGCCTGAGTGACAGCTGGTCCAAACTTTGGGTAAAAAGCTGGCTTGGAGTTCCTCCTCAAATACACCAGAGTGTGGCAGATCGAGAACTGGGTAGGTTTATACCCAAGAGTGACTTGTCTTTTTTTTAAGATTTCTTTCTTTCTTTCTTTCTTTTCTTTTTTTTTTTTTTTTTTTTGGGGGGGTTTTCACTTTGGGGTACGGGGCCCCGCCAC